GGGGGGACAGGCCGCCCTCATTGCAGCTGCCTCTCTGCATGTCCCAGGAAGAGCGGGAGCCCAGCAGGCTTTTAGTGTCCTCTCAGGGCCTGTATGCCTGTCCCTTTCGACCTCCAGTTGTCCTTGTTTGCCTCCCCATCTCTCACCCCCTCCATGTCACTGTTTCGCTGTGGCCTGCAGCCTGCCTCTCAGTTTCTCTCCACAAGCTTCCTTCGTTAGTGCTGCTTTGGAAAGCAGAACGGGAATCTGTGTGGGTCCCCTTGGCCCCTGGGTGAACTACCTCCTCTACTTACCACCCTGTCCTCTCTCACTGAAACCCGGGAGAAGCTGCTGTCCTGTCATCATCTTCCCCTGCCTGCAGCCGGGACCCCATCCTGTAGTCTGTCTGTGGGGTCTTCCTCCTCCAGGCAGCCTGCACCTTCCATCTCTGCAATTCTGCCCCCCCGCCCAGAGTCTGTCTCTGGACCATCATGAGGTTGGGGTAGGGTCACTAATATAAAGTCCAAAGGCATGTAAATCTGGGAGTGGGGCATCTGAAAGAGTATGAGGGAGTCCCTGAAACCCCAGCAATGCAGAGTGAGAGGGGGTGGGTGTAGGGCAGCCTCTCAGTGCAAGTCCTCACCATGCTGAGCAAAGGTTCCATGCTGAGCGGGATGCATGTGGAAACCAGGTGTCTTCAAGTCAGTTCTCGCTTCTGACAGTCCCAGGTGCTCTCTGGGCAGACTTGAACCTAAACCTTTCCGTTATTAGCTGAGATCATTACTAAATGGCGGTGCACCTAAACTCTAGGATGCTCAGAACCCACTGCCTGACGTGCAGTGAATTCTGACTCATTGTGACCCTATCAGCAGTTTCTTTTTATTATTATTAACTGCTCATTTTAAGGAAGCTGACTGCCATCACTTTGTTCCACAGAGCACGTGGTGGCTCAAACCACTGACTTTTCAGAATGCTTGACCTCTGTGCCACCAGGGCTCCTAGGATTCTCATAGGACCACATTTAATTTTCCCTGTCACCCCCAGGTGACATCAGGAAGGAAGCTGACCAGGTTGTCATAAAGAAGGGCTGAACCCAGATCTCACAGTGCCACCACTGAGCTCTGGCACCCCCAGGGCTCTTGAGTCACACTGTGTCCAATGCCCCCCTCCTCTGAACTGCCCTTTGCTGGGATGCAGCGGGCAGGGAGGAAGCCCAGAAGAAAAAGGATTCCAGGGGACATGGCTGCAAGGTGGATGTGAGCCACTTCCCCGCCGCTCTTGCTTTTCTCGTGTCTCCCCAGGCCTTGGCAAGTCCCGGAAAGGTCCTGCCCCCAAAGCCCCTGTGCCCACTGTGGCCACGAGGGAGGATCCTACCACTCCTGCCCCCCTCACATCCACTACTCAGGCCCTGACGGCCCCCAGCACCCCACAGCCCACAGGTGGGTGCCAGGGTATAGCCAGTGACCCTGCTGGCCTGCCCTTTCCTGCTCACAGCCTGGCTCTCTGCCTCTGGCCATGGTGCCAAGGCTGAGTGGGCATGGCTCATAGACGTAGAAACTGCTAAAATCCCAGAGCTAGAATCCCCAAGCTAGACTCCTATAGTTAGAATCCTAGACTAGAATCCTCGAGCTAGACTCCTACAATTAGAATCTTAGAGCTAGACTCTTAAGAGCTGGGGGTGTGGGCCAGCTTCATGGAGCCCCAGCTGGGTTCAGACACCATGCCACGCTTCTGATGACTTCTTCCTCCTGCCCCACCAGGGCACCACTTGGAAGGGTCCCAAGGCCAGATGACCAGTTACACAAAGTGACCTGGAGAGGAGGGTGCAGGTGGCAAGGAAGCCACACTGAAATGCCACCACAGCCAGGCCCCTTCCCCTGGTGCCCCTGCCTTGATGTTCTGTGCCCCACCTCCACCTCCAACCCCCTCCTCTGCCCTCAGTGGCCAAGCTGCTCGCAGCAGATGAACTAAGATAAGGCAGAAGGCAATCTGTGGAGCAGGGATTTTAAAACATGGGCACCTGGACAGGTTGGTGCAGGAACAGGGCTGGGGCAGACTCCTGCCCCGTCTCCACGAGAGCAGCCTGCTCTCAGGTTCTGCAGCTACAGACATGTTTGGAGCTTCTCATTCTCCTAATGCAGGATGTGTATGTGTATGTGTGTGTGAGACCAGGAGGGCTCTGGTAGCAAGTCCTCTGGTCTCAGGGAGGAGTCACTAGACCCACCCACACACTGGGGCCTGGAATCTGAGTGCTTTTCCTTCCCAGAAAGTGCTAGGGAGACTATGGCGAATTCTTCCAGCTCCCACTGGGGAGGGGTGCCCCAGTCCTGCCCCCAGCCCAACGCTCCCCACCCCTCATGCAGGCAGGAGATGGTGGGTTCTACTCCTTGGGCGATACAGTGCCACCTTCTCTCTGGTGATTAAGGGATGCACCACAACTCTTTTTCCTTTTTCTTCCTACCCCGCTCAGAGGGAGGCCCTTTCCAGGAGCTGGGACTAGCCTGGAGATCTGAGGCTGGCAGGGGAGCCTGCTGGCCCAGGAATCCCCCCTGGCGTGGAGGGTGGGATCACTCTGGGAATCCCAGCCTTCAGGCATAGGTTGGCCTAAGCCACCTGTGACTTGAGCTTTTGCTGCACCTGCGATGGGCAGACCGGGAAACAGAAATAGCCATGATGGGTGCTGTGTCTGCCTTTAAATAGTGGCCCATCTTTGCGGTAGCCAAACACCTGCCCTCTCTTAACTCACAGCCACAGCGTGACTCCAGACCTGTTTTTAGAGCTGCCTTTGATTTGGTGAAGGGGGTAGAAGGTATAGTATGGAAAGCAGGGAGTTCAAAGTAAAAGTCAGAGGTCAGAAAGGATGGACCAAGTGGCAAGGAGCTGCAACTACAATCCCAGAGGCGCACGGTTCGAATCCACCAGATGCTCTGCCGGGGAAGGAGGGACAATTTCCTCCTGTACCAGTCAGATCTGATTTGACGGTACACTGACACAAAAATAATAAAATAAAAAAAAAAAAAGAAAGGATGGACCAAGAGGAGGTAAAATTTGAAGGGTGGGAGGCCCAGGTGGTGAGAAGCCAGCCCTGCTCAAAGGCTGGAAGTAGCAGGAAATTGAAGGGGAGAAGTTCCAATACAACATCCAGTCACCCATGCAAACCCATGTAGGTAGCCATCGCTGCTTCTGTGACAGCCGGAGCCCTTGTTAATAAAGACATTAGTTCCAGACGGTTAAGGGCAGGCTAAGAGCTTCGCTGATGTCACTGTGCCCTTTGCTCTGTGGGATGGGGCTGTTGCTTCCCTAATCCCAAAGGTGAGGCTACTGAGGCTTAGAAAGGTGCAGCTGAAATTTATGTTGTGTAAATTATACCTCAGTGTTGCTGTTGTTGCTGCTGTAGTCACTTGCCAACTTGACTCATTTGACACACAGAACAAAGGGCTCTCTAGACTGTAACGTCTATGGAAGCTCACAAACAGATCTTTCCCTAGTGGGCCACTGAGTGGGTTCAAAACACCAACCTTTTGGCTCGCAGCTGAGTGCTTACCTGCTTTCCACTGTTGTGTACCATCGAGTCAGAACTGACTCATCGCTGACCCTCCAGTGGGTTTTCAGAGACAGTAAATTGCACAAGACTTGACTGCCCATCTCTTTCCTTCAGAACACCTAGTGGGTCTGAACCTCATACCTTTGGGTTGGTAGTGCAACTCCTTACCTCTAAGCCACCAGAGCTCCCTAGTGGCTTTGCCTCTAGAGCTCCTTTATACCACAATAAAGTTATTTTTAAAAAAATACTAAAACTCTAGAGAGGAGCTGCCCAAAGTCCCAGGATTCTGAAGGAGCATAAGCATGACTTGAACTCAGAACTCTCTAACTCTAAACACTGCCTACCTTTTCTCAAGTCAACTCATTGCTATTGAGTCAGAAACTGACTCATAGGTGACCATCCAGTGGGTTTTTCAGAGGCTGTAAATCATACAGGAGATGGACCATCTTTTTCTCACCAGAGCTACTGGTGGATTCAAACCACCTGTCTTTGGGTTGGCAGTGCAATTCCTTATACACCAGAGCTCCCTCAGCCACCCCAACATCACTGCCCTGAGGCCTCGATGGGGAGCCTGCACAGTGGTGCCTCTCTGAGGCCTGGCTTGCGAAGCTCCTCGATCCTAGAGGAACAGACGGGCCTCCATCTGGCCTTGGCACTTGACACGGGCCTCGAGGAGAATGTTCCTCCGCACAGCTGGAGTCCCTGGAGAGCCCGGGGCTCATCTTTCCTCCCCCAGCTCCCACCCTGGAAAGGTCCTAGGTCTCTCCTTGGCATCTTCCAACAGGTGCTTCAGGCTCCTCAACCAGAGTCCGGCGGGGTCCCTGAACTCCTGGCCCAGATGTTTCTCCCTCTTGCCAATGTCAAGTTGTCTGGAAAGCAGGGGCTGCCAGGATGGGCTGCTTAAGGACCACTAATCCTTTCCCCAGCTCTGCCCTCAAAGGGTGGGGTGAGAACAGCTCTAAAGCAAATGCCTCCAGGGCAGCTGTTACTGCCTCTCTAATTAAGCCCTTGTCAATTTGAGCAAGGGCCGCCTCCTCTCCTCATTGAACACCATATTAATGTCGATTTGATAGCCAAAGGCTCCCGGGTCCCAGCTGGAAAGTCTCCTGCACTTTTTAGCTGGTAGATTTCTTTTCTTCCTCTACCAGCCATGGTTGTGCATAATCCCTTTAAGAAGCGGAAAAATCAGATTTCTTCCCCCTGTCCCTCTGGGTTTGTCCTTTGAAATTCAGCAAAGAGCAAGTTCTCGCTTTTGCCCTGTTCTGCCATCTCTCCCTGGCTGTGTTTTCCAGTTAGACTTGGAGATGAGCCATGAAGGACTGGGGGTGGACTCTCACGGGGGTCCCCAGTGATGTTAGGCCCAAATCAAGAGGCCATAAAATGAGAGGATGCCACATATTTGAGGGCAGTGATGTGAGAAGCCAGTCCCAGGCTTGCACTGGACACGAAGCCTTGAAAGACCTTTCTGATTTGTCCAAAGCATGTGTGCCAACCCACTTGGCAACCATTAGCCAGAATTTTCAACGTTGAAGACTCAGGGCCACAGGACTCATGTAACCCCACCCTTCAGTGGGAATGGGGACTTCGCATGGAGAGCAGAAGGGTTCCCAAATGGAAGTAACTACTAGAGAAAGGATTGTTTAAAAGTGCCGATTCTCAGACCTGAGGGGGCTGCTCTCATCTGGCTTCACTTCCACGTTTGCCCACCACGGCTGCAGTATTGTAGATGCTGCCGCTAGTAGATTTGGACTGTGTGTGTGTGTGTGTGTGTGTGTGTGTGTAGAGAGAGAGAACGCTGAGAAATGCCTCAGTGCCTCCCTCCACTGACCCCCTTCTCATAACTTGATTTTCTTCTCTTCTTTCCCCCAAGAGTGGACAAGGTCACCCACAGCTGCCCTCCTCTGGGAGAGCCCCCCGGGGCCCCAGGTATCCTCCAGTGCAGAAGGTACAGCAGGATGGTCACTGGCCTCAGGTCCCTGGGAAGGTCCTTCTTAGACCCTAGGCCCCTCCCTCTGTAGTGGAGGTAGCAGTGGACATGGTGGGGACCCAGAGTGGGAGGTAAAAAGACAGTACCTACCCTGGGTGAGCTCAGGGGCACAGCAGTGAGGAAACGGGTCCTGGAGCCCTACTCATGCCCCCTCTAATTCATCTTACATAGATCCAGTGTGACATCCCCAAACTTGGTCAATCCTATGCTCCCTCCAAGGGCTTCAGGCTCACTGAGGACTCTGCTTCTCACAGCATTACCCTTCTCTGTGGACAGGGGCCCCTGAGCAGCTCAGAGTCTGAGTGGGCTTGCTACTGGAGCCAGGCGGGACTTCAAGATCTTGAAGGGTGGTGGGCTATGAGCAGATGACAGGAGAACTGGTCCAGGTCGGGGGGGGGGGGCACAGCAGGAGCAGTGGCTTGGTGGTGGGACAGCATTGAGGAGCCAGGCAGATGTGCTAGTGTGAACAAGGTCAGGGAGGGCCTGGGTACGCCTGCAAGGCCTTGACTACCAAGTTGGGAGGCTTTTCCTCCCACTGTGGGTGGAGAGCTCTTTTGTTGCCAGATGGAACAACAGAGGAAAGATATAGGCTCCGCCTGCCTCTCCAGATGGCGGAGGGTGGGGATGTGTGTTAGCTCCAACCCCAACTCCTGTTACCTGTCTTGCCCCTACTTCTCTGTCCCCAACACCTGAGTTGCCCTTCAGCTCAGCTATGAGCAGTGAGCAGGGCTCTGAGCGCCCTCTGCTGGAGAGCTGGGCCCATGGTTAGTGAGGCTTTGCTTTTCCCAGCATCCTTGGGGCATCTTAGTAGTGGAGAGCCATCACGGGGATACCACAAACCAGGGCACCACAGACTCCTGGGGAGAAGCCAGGGTGACAGTGCCTTCGGACGGTGCCATGCTCACCTGCAAATATGGGGCTGAGGGACTTGAGATTCTGAGACATGAAAGGATTCTGAGACTGGCTGTGTGGAATCCATGAATGGCAGAGGACTCATTTTGACAGAGCAGGGTGGTTACTTAAGAAAGGTTGATGCCTGAACCTTGAGTGCTGGGTTCAGACCTTGAACTTGACGCGCAAGCAAATTTGCAGAGAGCAAGAGGAAATGGGATCTATTCAGTCAGTCAGAGGGTTGTTCAGCATCAGCTAAATTCTTAGCACATGCAGAGCGTGTTGAAGAACAGAGGTGTCATTTGGAAAGATTGATCCGTCCAGATGTGTCCATTGCATCAGCAGATGTGTGGATGGCTGGTTCTCGGTGGATGTGCTGTATCACCTTCAGCAAAGTTACTTACACCCCTGACTTCTGTGGGCTTCTGACCTGAGGATTCTGTGCTCCGAGGCCAGTGGAACCTGTCCTTGCTTGCAATCTAAGGAGGTGTCAGGACTGCCCCAGAGCTTGCCCAGGGCACTGTTTTAGTTATCCAGTGCTGCTATAACAGAAATACCACAAGTAGGTGGCTTCAGCCAACACAAGCTTCTTTTCTCACAGTTGAGGAAGCTAAAAGCCTGCATTCTGGGTTGCCTGCTTCAGGGGAAGGCTTTCTCTCTGTCAGCTCTGGAGGAAGGTCCTTCTGCCCCTGGGTGATCTTCATGTGGCACCTCTCTTCAGCCCTCTCTACTTCTCTGGCTTGCCTTTTAAATCTTTTCATCTGGAAAGAGATAGACTTAAAGCACACCCTACACTAATCCTGCCTCATTAACATAGCAAAGACAGCCCATTCCCAAATGGGATTATAACCTCAGGCATAGAGGTTAGGATGCATGACACATATTTGGGGATGGCCAATTCAATCCATAACCAGCACCTTTACCTTTCCTGGGCTTTTCCCTGAGCCCAGATATCCCAGCGTAGACAAATGGGCCATGGCTGATAAAAAAGTTTGTTTCTTGTCTCTCCAAGCTGTGGGCGTCTCTGCTTTTGCCCCTCCCCCTGCCAAGGTCTCCAAACTCTTCCAGCTCAAGCCCAAATCTCCTCAAGTGGTGCCTATTGAAGAATTTCCAGGTAAGATGACATCTAGGGAGAGATTAGTGCTCCCCAAAGCATCTTTCTACATTCACTAGAGCAAAAAAAAGCACAGGATAGAAGATCAATGCCTGGCTCAGAACACCCTCCCAGAGTAGCAGGGTCAAGGTCAGACTGGGCCTCTCTTCCCTCCAACCATCCGTCCCCAAGGGAACTTGGAGCAGGAATGAGTCAGAAGCTCAGTGGGTAGGCCACACAGCAAGCAGATCGGCAGCCAGAAATAGCCTGCCTGGCTCCCCTGGGAGGTGTGGCCCAGGGGTTCATCTTGGTGGAAGGCAGGATCTGGGACACAGGGGTCACTAACTATTGCTCCTTGGGACATCTGGAGAAAGCTCCACCTTCTCAGTGTCTCTGGGGAGATAAAGGGCAGGGCCAGGCCAAGAGCCTGCTGGTGCCAGAATGCCCCCTCTTCTGGGCATTTCAGCAGCTGTTTCTCCAAACTTCCCTTGACCTTGGCTGCCTCCAGGGTCAGTTGTAGCTTCTCCTGTCATGATGGGGAGGCGGCTCGGTCCTCCAGAAATACACCAATGGCAGATGCCACTATTCTTGTACGTGGGCATCCTTACTGGCCTTTCTGCTCGGGGACATGTTACATAGAAGGGGCATCAAGGCATGGCTCCCACCTTCTTGCAGCAGACTAAAATGACCTGAGATGACCTTCCTCGCCAAACCCCACCCTTTCATTATGTCCTGGGAACCACCCCAATCCTTGAGTGTGCCAGGACTTGCCCATCCTGAGAATTCAAGCCAGTCAGGCAGAGTGGGCTGGAAGCCCACCATAGTGGAGAAAGGTGGGCACAGTTGTTCAAAGTATGGGGCCACATGCCTCTCCAAGGACTGAGTCGCATCAGGGCAAGGACCAGGGGATACGACTGGATGCCCACCCAGGTTCAAGTCATAAGGAGGTGCTCACTTCCAGCCGGAGCGAGGACAGGCCCTCTGGTGCCAGTCAAACCCACAGAACAGCTCAGGCCAATGGGAATGGGTTCCGCAAGTAGAGCGGGCTTTTCCTTCCCACGATATTCCAAAGCAGCACTTGAGAAGCTCTTCCTGGTCCATCTCATCCCGTCCGGCACTCATGCATTCATCTTTCCATCCACATAACCGCTGGGGGGTATGAGGGTATCCAGGTGGGCCTCCCTGAGCATTCATTCTGTCCGCATGCTCTGTCCCCTCACATGAATCCTCTCCTAGTCACCTTGCATGTGGGCATCCTTCAGAGAGTACTTTGCCCAGTGCCTGGCCAGGCCTTTCGGAGGTGCTGCCCACTGGCCCTCTCTCAGTCTCCTGCCCACAAGGGCAGGTGGGAGTTTGTAGTTCTGGGACTGGTTCTCTTTGGGCCTCATAGCTGGCCACATGGCACAGACGTGTGAAGGCTCAGGGCACTTTACTGTACCGCACCCTTTCCTAGACACCTGCATCCCTGTGTGTCCTTGGGCAGCTCCTTTGGGCCCTGTGCCTCAGTTTCCCCAAATGCACAGGGTGGTGGTGGCTGGCAACGTGATGGCACCGTTTCCCCATGCTCTTTGACCCTCGGTGTGTCTCTCCTGCTCGGCCCGGCCCAGACTGTGAGTGCTACGGCCACTCTAACCGCTGCAGCTACATCGACTTCCTGAATGTGGTGACCTGTGTCAGCTGCAAACACAACACACGGGGCCAGCACTGCCAGCACTGCCGACTGGGCTACTACCGGAACGGCTCTGCCGAGCTGGATGACGAGAATGTCTGTATTGGTGAGCATGCGGTGGGAACAGGGGACCCCTGGCATTAGTCAGCTGGTGAGGCTGTGGAAATTGCGGTTTCAGGGCCGATTCCAACTAGGACCAGAAGCCTTGGAATTGCTGTTATGACCTCTCCAGGCACTGGCTCTCAGACACTGGTTTGAGAGTCAAAAGCCTAGATCTAGAGTCTGCCAAGCTGGTTGTGTGCATTTGGACAAGTCCTCTTCTCTAGGCCTTAGTCCCCTGTTCATAAAGTCAGGAAGCAGACAAGATCAAAGAGTGTGTATGTCACAGGGTTGTTGCTGTTGAATGGTGTAGAGTCAGAACCACCTCCTCACTGGCCTTCCACTGGTGCAGCTGTGGATTTGAACTGCATGCCTTTAGGTTGGCAGCGCAGTGCAGTACGGCTAGGTCACTAGAACATGTAACAATTTTCAAATGCTTTACAGCAGAGACCCGGATTATAACCTGCCTCCCACCCCAGTAGGTACCTGATCTGTTTCCTTTAAGCTCTGGCTCCAGGGCTAGCTTTGGGGGCAGTGGAGGAACCACAGGAGTCCTGAGCACTGTTGCCTATGGTGCACCATGCCCATTAGGAAGGGCTGTCTTTCACCTCAAGCCCTGGTTCTGTAGAGACCAGGTCAGCCTCAGGTGCCCATCCAGGCCCCTGGGAGCCCCTGTCCATGCCCCACCCTGAAGGCTGAACCTGGCACCCAGAGAAGAGGCTGGCCACCATGCTGCAGCTACCAGGCTGTGTTATAGCTGCAACTTTTAGATAATTCTATCAGGTCTAAAGTGATCAAAATGGAATCGCACTGGCGCTGCCTATACCACTTTGGGAGGTGTGGAGTCAGCTGCAGGACTAGGGCAGGGCCTTTGGCTCCCATTAAAGGCACCCTTCCCACAGCCTCTCCTCCTCCCTCTGTGCCTTTACCCCTTCAGTACCCTCAGGGCCAGAACTGCTTAGCTCTGAGTGGGGAACATTCACAGACTCAAGGAAACTAACTGGGGAGGGGAACTGAAAGCTCTCCCCTACCCGAGCCCTCGCTTGACGTTGGAAGTGTGAGCTAAGCCCGCCCTTACACCCACATCACAGCCGATGCCTCTGAAGAGGGAGTCTCTATGCCTGACCAAGTCTTAGTTCTTTGGAGCTGGAAATGATCAGCGCCTCCTTCAGTTGTAGGGTTTCAAAAAGGGGAAGGAGCTGTCCGGGGTCACCCAGGCCAGGGATGGGGTGTGCAGGGTTGGGTGGGTGATGCCTACGTGGACACGGTGTGGGGACCAAATCCCAGGAAACCCATAGGCTAGGAAGGTTTGCTGGTACAGGTGGGGTAGGGATGCGTGCGGAAGAGAGGAAGGGCCCCCCTGACCTCTCCCTGTGCACATTATCCAGAATGTAACTGCAACCAGATCGGGTCTGTGCACGACCGGTGCAACGAGACGGGTTTCTGTGAGTGTCGCGAGGGCGCAGCGGGGCCCAAGTGCGACGACTGCCTCCCCACGCACTACTGGCGCCAGGGCTGCTACCGTGAGTCCCAACCCCAACCCTAACCCTAACCCTACCACTTCTGCGTTTCGGGGATGGCGCGGAAGATGCAGCCCTGGGCTGCTGGGGGCGGGGCGTGGCCTGATGAAATGCATGCAGTCGACTGTAGTTGGGAAGGGTTCCCGGGAATAAGGAAGAGATGGCCTAGCGGAGACCCTGAAGACTAGAAAATGTTAGCCAGGGAAAGAGGGAAGTGGGGCGCTCTGGACACGTGCCCAGTTCTGGAGACTCGAGAGTAGTAGGTGCTTCTGACAAGCCTAGAGCTGGGGCTACACGGGGAGCTGGGGACAGGTCACGCCACCTCGTGGAAGAGGCGTCAGTGAACCCCGCGTCCCGTCCCCTGTGCACGCCCACAGGGGGTCGCCCGCCCGGGCCCCAAGCATTCTCCTACCCTCTCCCCTGTCCGCAGCCAACGTGTGCGACGACGACCAGCTGCTCTGCCAGAACGGCGGCACCTGCTTGCAGAACCAGCGCTGCGCCTG